CATTGCTGGCCTTGGTAGTGGGAAGGCTAGAAATGATAGTTATGCTGTTTAGAGTTGAGGGCAATAGTTTTGACTTTGTCACTTTTGTTTCAGAGCAGCACAAAATGTGCCTTTCACTTGTCATATATCTAGTCGGTTTTCAGCATTTTGCATTATCATTAAGTCCTTAAATGTTGAGTATGGAGATTGTGATAAGATTTTTAAGGTTACTCATTGTTACAGATGGTATAGTTGTAATTGTTAATGGTAGGGAAGTTGTAGATAAAAGATTATTTGAGTCAGGTAGAAATGATTGACTTGAGTTGAACGATGTTATACACATTATTATATAAGTTTAGGAAGAAGAGTCAGGTCTGGGTCAAGTAACTCTGATTTAGCTACAAATTCGTTAGATAATTTTTCAAAGTGGAAGATTTTCTTGAAAAGTTTGATTTTGTTAGTAAGAGTTTCATCTTTGATTATAGGAAGAAATAGTGTAATATTTTGTAATTTGAGTGTAGCTTGTGTCTCAGCTAAATTGAAAAGATCAAATAGAATTGGTAGGATCCATTCTCATGGAATTTCTTCCAGATAATTGTCTTTGATTTTTCTAATTGTCAGGCCAAATTTTGGGTGACTTCTATTAAGTTTTTTACTGGAGATGCCTAGTTCCTCTTCAACCTGTGAGAACTTGGTTAAAAGGATAGGTTTTTCTAATTGGGCGAGACCTTCTTTGATCCATTCAGGACTCAGTGGAAATTTGAAGAAGAATTTGCTTCTGAGCTGTTTAATGAATTCTTTAACTTTGTCTTGTTCAATAATGGGTAGAACATTGCCATTGTTTTCATTGTACCAATGGACTGGTGGAAAAGGTCTTTTTGGCTTGATGAAGTCTTGTGACAGCTTTTTTACTGCATAGAGATTGTTTCTCAAAATTTGAACTACTTCTTGTATTCTTTCAGGTCGTTGTTGATAGGAAAATAAGAGTGGAGATATTCAGAAAGGTCTATATAGAATGGAGGAAGAGATTGTTTGGGTGGAGGAAGGTTAAAGTAAGCTTGGGGAAGTTTGTTTGGGATGTAGTAATGGTCTCTCAATTTGCCAACAAGTTCGCGCAAGTTCCTCAGGTCGGCACTACTTGTGAGAGGAAAGATACTATGAAGTTCTTTTTTTAGATTGGTTGGGTTCTCTGGGAGGTCTGGCCTTTGTACAAAAAAAGAGGGTAAGAGTAAATTGAGGTTGTAGTATACTCTAAGATACTCTGCCACTTCTTTGGTAAATTTTGGTGAGGTGATGAAAATAGCTTTGGGTAGCTTGATCTTAATTGAGGCCAGAATGTTACTAGATAACTCAGGAAGATTGGGTAGTTTTATTTTGATATGTTCTTTACACTTGTTATACACTTTTTGATAGTCTATTTTAGCAAGTGCGGGGTCAAAAAAGAAGTTGAAGTCGTATTCCAAAAGTTGGACGACTTGCCAGAATTTTAGTTTTGTAAGGTTGATTGATTTGAGATAGGCTGCAAAAAGTGCTTTATTGATAATTACACAGATTTTTTTCTTGGTGGTTCTGGTAATATACCCAATATTATTTGCTTTGAGATAGTTTGCTTTAAACTCATTCTCAATTTTTTCGTATTCACATTGGTGTTGTCCTTTGATTAGTTCACTATTTGTGAAGGTTCTGAAGAAGTCTCTGTCTCTATAGCCAATTTTTGAGAAGATAGTCTTTAGTGATGATCTGGGGGGACCTTTGGGGTCGTCTCTGAACTTGATAAAGAGTTTGAGTATATCCTCTGGGGTTCTGGAACAAATGGTTATCTCTTTGCAATATGTGAGAATCTTGGTTTGTTTATTTTTTAGAGTATTGCTACGAATGTTGTTGCTGGGTTGGCTATTGGTTGCGATTGATAGTGTGGCTTCAGTTTTATCAGCCCAAGAGGAGGGTTAGTTATGGATTGCAGGTGTGGCTTAGCTCCTGTGGAAAGATCATTGATTTCCATTTCAATGATGTTTTGTGTATCACTTGGGTTAGTATTATTCTCATATAGAGATGCAGGGGTACATGCATTACTTGTTTCAGATTCATGTAAATTGTGTACTAAATTATTGTCAATGGGTGGTACAGGTTCAGGGGTTGATGCAGGGATTGTTGCAGAAAAAGAATCAGACTGCATACTATTGTCATCAATCATTTCCTTTATGGATACAGGTGTGTTTGGTAGGGTAGGAGCATCCTGATTTTTCTTTCAAGAGTAAAAGTTTTATTTTCTTCAAAAGTGTTAATGTTAAGTTTCTTTCAGGAGATGTGCAGGCCATAGTTGAGGTCATGTTTCATAACTTTTCTTATGATGTCTGTTCTTGTCTGTTAGTTTGAAGGTATGTTGGAATTCCATGAAGAAATTTAGATCTTCCAGGGGCATTGGTTCTGGCAGGGTTATGGTAATGAGTATGAGTTTAGGTAATAATCTGATTCTTTGACATTCTTCAAAGGTGGCACTAATGATATTGGCACTTTCTAGTTCACTTTGTAGAGAGTGGGCAGGTGTTATCCATACTTTAGGACAGTTTCTCAGCCTAGAGAGGCAGATTGATTGGGTGGAAGTAGAGGCAGAAATTTTGTTTGTTTTGATGTTTCTATAGATAATGATGGCTTGAGGACTTTTAATGTTAATAACAAGTACGTCAAGAAGGATATGCTTATAATTAACTATTTGATCCTTGGGAAGTGAGAGCTCCCCAAGGTCTTTTGCTTTTTTTTTCCACAAAGAAATTTGGGGTTTTCTAATTTAGTAATTTTTTGCAATGTGAGTATGTTTGGAAAAGAGTTTTTTACTATGTTTTTTTCTCATTAATATATTGTTTCTTATAGTATGTTCTTTCTATAAACTCTTCTGCTTCTTCATTATCATTAAGATATATTTTCCCTTTATTATCTTCCTGTTTCTCAGGTTTATTCTACCAATCCTTGATGGTTTCAAAAATATTAATTTGTTCTCTAATACTTTCTATTTCTTGTTGATTTTCTTCCTTAGGTTCTTCTAAAATTCTAGATATTTTTAAACTTAATATTCCTGTTATTACAGATTTTGGCATTCTTTCTTTAAATATATTTGCATGTCTGTCTTCTTTACATCCTACAGTTTGTCCACATGATATATTATTTAAATGTATTAACTTAATATATTTTTTCCATTTTTTCTTTTTGATATCTTTTACTATAGTCATAATATTGTTTCCTCCTATATAGTAATGTTGTGTATCTAAACATAGGTATAATTCTTTTCTTCTTTCACATAATTCACATTACTCTTTTATGTCTGTTCCAAAATTATTAGGTGATGCTGAATTCTCTAATAATATTGATACTTTATTTCCTTCCTTATCACTATTCTTCTTGAATTCTAAAAACTTATCTAAATTTCTTTTGAATTCTTCTAATGTTTACTTATTAGGGTTTCTTTTTATTCTTCTTGGTCCACAATGTATAACAATTCTTTTTGCTCCAAGTTTTTGTGCTTCTTTATATTTTTCACTTAGCTGGTCAAATCTCCAAGATTCATTTATTTCTGTTATGTTTAAGATGATCGAAACATAGCCATATAAAAGATGCAATTTTTCTACTGTCTTCCCTTATGCAAAGCCAACGTGGCATTTAAAAAACTCATCGAACTTGGTTTTACTTATCTTAAATCTGAATATCCGCACGTCCCCGCGATTAATTTTCTAATCGTGAATTCTTTGCATAAATGGGCCCATTCATCGTTTTGGAGAATATGCCTTTTATGGCTTTAACGGCTACTTTATTTTTCGTCGTCGCGAAGATGACCCCCGAAAATATCCATTTGTGTATAGGATTCATCGCCATACGGTTCTTCCTGTGGGACGTAAAGCAAAAAAATGTCGATGAAACAAACTCTCGTGAAACCAAGATCAACATTACTATTGCTGAACAAATCGGCAAGATCAGAACCGAAATTAATAACGATCTTACCGCAAAAATGAGTTCCCTTGATGCTAACTACACAACGGAGGCACAGAATATCATTAACATGATAAATAGGAAATTGAACAAGTTCTAGAAACCTACCATGATAATTTTAGTCAAATTGCAACTGATTTTGAATCCATCAGTAGAATCATTACATCGCTTCAGGGAAAATAGAAAAAGTAAAAACTTAGAAAAAATAGGTGCTCGGATAGATAACACTCATTTACATCGATACTGAGTGGCGGGGAAGGAACTGCTAATATATGGGTTAGGGCTCGGCAGGCATTTATGCTTTATTCCTCCCTTGAAACAACCTGCTACTCTATTATTTTTTACTTTCATTTTTACTTAGCCGGTCGGCCCTTTCTCATGTATTACTTTGCAATAAAGTAAATGTGTGTATTTTGCAAATGTAAATATAACTCTCATGATAGTAAACTAAAATGATTCCCGATTTATACTTTTATTTGAGATAATCTCCGTTAGTTTGTTTGATTTCTTGACTTGACTTTAGAAAATCGCCATCACGATGCTAATCATTTTTCCCAACTCTATAGATGCTCAAAGATAAAGCGGACATATTGCCTTTCTTGATTCTTTCCGCACATTTGATAAAATCGTGATCATTGTCATATGTGTCTGTCACCAAATTTTCGTCAAATGCTGATATACATTGCGCAGTATATCGTCCCGGTGACGTCTGACGCAGTATCGAGCTGGCAATAGAAAAAAATATTAAGCTACAAATTTATTGGTTATGAGGCGGTATGAAATATTATAAAAATGAAGTGTACCGGTAAGTGTGAATCGGATATCTCATTTTTTTTTTATCTCGTTGCTAATCTTCATATAGATTCGAAATTATTTCATCTCTCCTGCGAAAATCGATACTTTTTAATTTCCGATTATTCGGAAAAAAAATCTGATAAGGGACTGTCGTGAATTGATGTAAAAGCACCCAATTGATTGTTATGAGATATTTGATATACAAGAATCTTACGCTACGCACCTTCATCCTATAATTCAGCAACATGAAAGGAATAGAGATTATAGACCCAAAAGACAGTAAGTATTTACTATTGTTGTGATTAATCCATTTACTGTAGGAAGTCAACTTTATAATTTTCTACAAGATTCCTCTTCCTGAAAAGATGCACGAATATTTTTCATCAGCTTCTGCACGTTCATCGAGTTTCTGTGCAAGCTTGATTCGGAACAGAAATTTTACACGAAACACCTGAATTCATTGAGCGTAAACCAAGATCTACCGCAATTTGCTAGGGATCACGCAAAAAAGTTGTTGAAAGAACTATATTCAACATATTGAGTTAATCCCAATTTGCAAAAGAGCTAATAAGTGATAGTACATCATGTCAGTCCAAGGAAATCGTTTCATTTTGGGATTCGATATTAGAACGTGCTACCGAAGAACATGATTACAAGATACTTGAGCAAGTTCGAAGCAAACATGTCTCAATTGGTGGTGCAGACGTTGCTAGAGTGCAACGAGAAAATAAGTAGGTCGCTCACCTGGTGCTCGACAAGAATGTGCTCATTCCTTGTCTCGATAAAGAATTAGCTTTCAGCTTCACACACGGAATATAAGCGTTGATCGATGGCCTATACATTTGTTATTTTGTTGAGTTTGTTCTTGTCAAAGGATAGAACGTATTTAAATATAATAAAGAAACATCCACCGCTCCGCCGTCAAGCTGACAGGCGCGGGACACGGTGGCCTACCTTTACGTGCAGAACGTTCACCGTCAGGCTGACAGGCATGAAGTCGTTTTGCACGTACCTCTACCACACCACCGTCAAGCTGACAGGCATGAATGTGGTAGGCGACTGCAAGGAAGAGGTCACCGTCAAGCTGACAGGCATGATAATCTCCCCTTGCACTTCCAGACAACTTGCCGTCAGGCTGACAGGCGCAAGTTGCATGGGCAAAATACAAGTTCTGGAAGATAGTAATAGATGATCGTCTGATTATCATGGCCATAAAAATCAAAAGTTCGTACAACATTAAAACGCGACAATCCCCCTAGTACTAACGCGTTTTCATCCTTGACACTGCCATGTCTGATATTATCAGAGAACCACGACTAGAAGCAACCAAATTCTTCAAGTATCAGATAGACAAGAATGCACTTTGCATTCACGAATTTTTTAAGTGTGTGTCTGCCTCACAGTGGTCACTAAGTGCCTTTGTCAAGCACATTGCTAAGTTGGAGACTGGGCTGAATTTTGAACAACTCTTCAAAGTGTTTGCTAAAAGTCTGGATCAAATTCACGAGTTACTTGTTGTTCCAATTTGTGTTCGAACATTTGCTCAAAACTATTTGAAATGGCTGGAGGTACGTGATTATTAATTCCTAGACTTTTATGCATGCATACTGATATTCGTTGTTTCAGACGTGCACGGGCAAGGCAATAGTAAACGAATGCAGAGAATATTTTTTCGCTAAAGTGACGTTGCAAGAAAAAACTGAACTAAAAGACATATTCAAAGTATGTTGATGGGTACAATACGTTACATAATACATAATGATGCTCATGTTGTAATTTTTTATAGGATACGGTGAATGTTACTGCACAAGCGAAGGCATACCGCGCATATATCACTGCACCAGCTGTGCCAACAAAGTCAAGCACATCTTTCTCGAAAGATCAACTCTCGGAGTACCACACTCAGCAAACAGACGGGACATACACAGGTGATGAATCTGACCGGGGTACTGACGAAGATGTTCAAGAAAGGGTTAGTTGATTTCCTTTGAATTCAATGATTCGTATTGACATTGCATGTTACTATTGCTCTGTTTTTGAGATCAACATTGAAATAACTCTGTGTGTCTTTATAGCACAATGATAAGGTAGACGAAGAATTAATAGAAGCTTCCACAGAGAAAAAGCGAAAAGACGAGGATGATGTGACATCGACATCACCTACAAAAAGGGTAACGACACAACTTTAGCGGTGTTTTTCACACTAGTTCACGTGTTTACATTGGTTGAAAATAACTGATATATATCAATTTTTAATTCAGTCTAGATCACGTTATGAATCACCGTACTCGCCATCTTCATCTGAAATGGAAATATTACCTTCGCTAACAACTGACCCTCAGATTCAACACGAACAGACTCAACAGGCACATACTCCCGAACGACATATTATTACTCCAGAAGATAAAGAGGAAAAAGAGAATTCTCTTTATGATACTTTCCCGGTTCACATTCATAAACGACCTGAACCAAATCCTTTTCTAGTTGGAAATCAGAATGACCATAATATAGACGAAGAGGGTGATGAATTCAATGCAAATTTAACTATTGTCGGTGGGAAAAGCACTGATTGGATTATTAGTGGGATTAATATCAGAGAAAAGCTAACGAATTATCAACTTGAAGTAAATCCACCTAAAACCCATCCAGAATATTATGACATTATTTTTTTCAATTTAAATGACGAAGACAATTTCCTAAGAACGTTAGACAAAGGTATTGTCGCGCAGATGCGTAAGGAAATAAAGATGGCAGAAGTAAACTCGAAGAACCAAGAGATTAAATTTTTTATGAAAAATATTATTGATCGCGATATTAAGAAGACTAAAGAAAATCTTAATCATCGAAATGCTGAAACAATTGACTCATTTGAAAAGAGGTTCACGTTGCATTTTGTGAGCCATATGTAATATATTTATTTAATTTGATTCATCGAGAAGTGTGATAAGACTAATGAAACCTACCTTATATAGGGTAAAAGTGATAGAAGATGTGAATTTGTTCCATGATCCTATGTCCGAGGGGACCTATATCGTAAAAGTTCTGGCACCCATTCTTGATTACTTCTTTGACAAAAAGAAAAAAGATTGGCGTGTTTCATATGGAGAAACTTGCCTCAAGGCAAGTGCGAAAGATGTTAATTCCAGTAAAAAAGATGATGAACGCCGATCTTCAGGAAAAAAGATTGATACAATTATTTGTATGAGAGAAGAAGATAAAGAGTTCTCAGTAATTGAAGTCAGTGGGCCCCCACTGAAAAATGATTGGACACACTTCATGGGTGATCGTATGAAGATCATGAAGATGTTGAAAACTTTAATGAATCAATTCGCCATACTCAATCCAAGCTCCGATATCACATTAATCAGATTATTTGGGTTACAAGCTTATTGTAAGTTTTTAATATTTTTCGTATACTATTGTTATTATGCATTGCTAACTCTTATGTTTTTTATAGTAAATGAGTTGACTATATATGAATTCAAACTAAAATATACCGAGGTTTACACTACAGAAGCAATACTGACATTTTCTCTACCTAAAACATGGGCAGATATGGTGAATGCTGATAAAGCTATAATGGGCTTGTTGAAGTATGAGGTTCGTACAAACGGATTTCAGAAAAAGAATATTGAGAACACAAAATTAATTTTTAATTTTTTTAAATTAGCACTTATTATCTGAAAGCTCAAAAACTATACAAGATTTTTTGTGGGCCGGTGATGGTATGATTGAAGCTATTAAGATGACGACCAGAATGATTCACACTCCTGAAAACACTGAGAAAGCTAAAAATATTAAAAGTAAAAAAAAATGAAGAAAAAGAATTGAGTTCGGGATATTTTTCATTCTGTAAATTGGAGTTCTCAGCTATATATCTAATTAATATGCCAAACATTGTATCTATATTGCATAAATAAAGATTCTTTTTACTTAGGGGTGATGTATATATGCATCGGAATATAAAATGCATATGATCAAGAACAAAAAAACCGTTCCCTTGGGGAACGATCAGAATCATGTGATTTTCATCTAGCCCAGAAATGTATATGCTGTGTGATCTAATACAGCACAATCCTGGATACTTCTCGTGAAATCTAATTAGCCAACACCTCGTGATTTCGATAGCACCAGGGGAGTGTCGTGGAATGGACAGGGTACCAGGATATAAGCAATAACGGAGCATATAGTACAGTTCTATGGCAAAGCCATGAGTCTCCGACTCTAGATATTTATATACATATTGAGTTGTTGGCTTCACCATAAATTACTAATTTAGAGTATCGTATGATGCAATTTATCTAAAATTAACATATTCTTATTTTTGCGATTGATTAGTTACTGTACATGAAATTTATATCCAGCGAGCAGTTATGTATTATTACCTAGCTAAGCTACTTCCGTTCATTTAAGAACGCAGATCGAAAGTGAGATTATTAATTAATTGGGTTAGTTACAAGGTCGATTGATTATTTGAATTGGTCCACTATTCACACTATTCACGGAGGTTAATACCCACGTTTGGAATTATTATCGGAGAAGGTGATATTAATACTAATGACATATTTTATTGTGTTATTATTTTGAAAAAAAGGTGCTTACGTACCTGAGTCGTCCCTATAGACCTGCTTTGCAATAAAAGTTCTGGCAATTTCTCGTCCGTTCCCGTCCAAGTCTATAAATAAATTTTGATCTGTAATTTTTTGTATTAGAACCGACCGAGACGAAGTCACGGGAGGGTTATTATCGCGAGGATCGGGACCTGTTTACATTTTTTGTGTGCAAGTGATGAAGTAAAATGATGTAATGATGATTTAAGACTAGTGATTATGTAAGAAATCAAAATAA